CTCTCTCTCTCTCGTCTCTCTCTACTATATATATATATATATATATATATATATATATAATTTATTTGCAGTATTCTTGACTGGATAAAGACCAACGTCATTTGATAACGGACGCTTTAGTGTACACGATTCTGTCGTTACAGTTCACTTTGCTTGACTTAAAAACTTAGTAAGAAATCAGAGCTAGCTAACTATATACAGAAACATTTTCACAGATTACCTTTAATTTTATGTTGCTCCGTATATTGTAAAGATTGAACCACTCAACTTGTAACCCTGAATGGAAACATGTTGTTTAGACTTTGAATTTTACACATAAAACTGTTTAACATTAAGTGAAGAAAATTCATTAATATTATTTCGAAATGATACCAACGTTTAACCTTTATGTTAAAATTCCTGTTTCAGAGTAGGTAATATGTAAGCGGTAATATCAGCTTACCTTTTAGCCACACAGAACGCATCGGAAGGACAGAAACGCCATGTGCCGGATAACTTATCGGTGATGACCCGTTTACTTGGTTACGTCCGTGGAATATGTTGATCCGCCTTTAATAGACGTAAAATATGTTCCTTGAAGCATACCCTTTTAACCATATATAGATATCAATATTTCCTTAAGGGTTGGTTAAGTATAGTATCAACAGCAATGGTGGCAGAGGTTACACAAGCTTTAGCTTACTATACAACTTGATCTACCAAAAAAAATCGAATACATTTATCGCGTGGTTCGACCTTTTTACCTCCGGGGGAGGAGACATCCTCCCCCGGAGGAGAGATTTAGATTTTTATGTTCGCAGCTGTTTCTCGCGTTTGGGTGGACGGATTTGGCTGTAGATTATGCACGTTCTTTTGTTTTTATTGTATATGTGTTTTCAGGCTTAAAAAGTCTGCCTTTTGGTGGCCCCAGAACACCCCTTTGAGCGTAAAAATGGTCGCGACCGTTGACCTTTGGCGTGTTGAAGACTTCAGGACCGTTGACGTATATGACCCCTCGCACAGAGGGTTGTCCCGTCTCGATAAATTCTTTGTTTAACCCTCAACAGAACACCTTCCCGGACTGATTAATCTGTACACCTGGGGTCCGCGCGGACCCCAGAACAGTTTTTTGCTAATTTTTAGAAATTATCAACATGCTACCAGCTCAATTGTTTTGCAAACTGATGTGGGAACCTCTGTGTCCACATTACATACAAAAATCATACATTTTGAACTTTTTCTATTTTTTGGTGAAAAAAAAGAAGACAAGAAGAAATACCCAATTTTTTTACCCATTTCAGACTAAAGGGGCTTTTGAGGCCCAACTTTGATCTCAGATAGCGGCTAAACGGCTTGCGCTAGAAGTATCAAATTTGGAGACCTTTCCTAAAATGTCTCTGGAAAAAAGTTCATATTAGTTTAATACTAGTAAGTTGATGTTTTTTTGTGTTGCCATGGCAACGGCTTTCTAGCAGGCAGTTTTTTTGAAAATAGAAGTAATTTTGGTTTAAACATAAAAATTTTCTCAGTTTTATATTAAATTACACTTCTTTTCCAACATTAATAACATCTTACATAATTAAATATAAGTTAAATCATTTAATATGCATAGAATATGCTAATTTGATGACGTCATTGGTCAAAATCCAATATGGCGAACTATATTATTAGCTCTGACGTCATATGACGTCATAATTACACCAAAGTTATTAAAATTTAATTCTATTACTACACCATTTTCTGAAAACGTTGTAGACATACGATGAGTGCATAAAAACATATAAAAACGGAAATAAGGTCATGTATAAGAACGCCAGTGTATCCATTATGATCGAAAGCCGGCTGGGGTCCGCGCGGACCCCAAAAGAAAATCAGATATAATTTTTTTATAAATGGTAGAAACGGAGTTTTCTGCGCTGTATTGAGATAAAACTTTGTGGGTGACAAATACCTAAAATTTCAGAAAAAAATCTTTAGAAACAAAAAAGATATAACAGAATATATAGTGCTGGGGTCCGCGCGGACCCCAGGTGTACTGTTTAGGGTTAAAACCCTAGTCCTGCGGCGCGCAACAGTTGTTGTTGTGCACAAAAAACACCATCAACTATACATAACAAACAACATATAAAAATATACAATAGAAATCCCGGAGGTATAAAACCTCAGATTTTACTTGTTTTAAAGATTAAAATAATAGTTCCAGTTGTTTTAAAGATTAAAGTAATATTTCCAGTTCTCAATACCATGTGCAACATACCTGACGATAGAGATAATTTGACACGGAATATTTTATTATAGTTCAATAGGACAAATTATTGCAATACGATTATCGACATTAGTAGTCTTATTGTTATAGTTACTTATTGATTTTATTAACCTGTTTATTTATGAGGCAATGTTTTAAAACAAGCAAGTAGTAGTAAACTAGTAGAAAAAGTGCCGTTTTTCTTATCAATTGTTGTTTTTCGTAATTAAAAAGGGCTAATTTCAATGCTGAATCTAGAAGTGTGCTTTAAAATTCAAACTGGCACAATTTTTCTAGGTTTTGCTAATAATGTTATTTTGCTATAAGAGGTAAAGTTACCTTCTTTCGTATCTTTTTAAACTTGCCTCTCTTCTTTTCTGGCCTGCTGCTGAAATTGATAGTTTAGCCGCTTTGCACTCAGAACAAGGAATCTGCTTAAGTTTACTGAAATATAAGGGAAATATTTATTCGATCGTACAATAATCAATCACATAGCTCGTGACCGCATTATGTACTTTAGGTTATTTTTTTCTGACGAAAAGGACACTACATAGTCTGTCATCAGTTTTGTAACAGCATCAAAATAAATACATAATACTGATCGAAGTGCGTTACATTTTTCTGCAAATGCGGTGTATATTTCCTATACAAAACTATTTTACAATCACTTAACCTATTTCTTAAGTTTATTATCGTAGTGAAAAAATATTCCAGATTGTAGCAATACAATAAACTGAAATTGTTTTACATACTTACTTACAAATGGTTGGATCATACTTAACGAGATGAGATTGAGTCTTTCCCAAAGGACGCATAAAGGAGCTGACTTCAAAAGCACCGGCTGCATGATAACTGTTCTGTTCTCTAATATAGACTGTGTCTAAATGCGAATTCAACAAATATCCACAGAAACTGAAAAGAAAATGAAGTTAACGGTAGTTGCACAACCCCGTACCTTTGCCAAATAATGTAAGCATTAATAAATGACGTATAAATGGTTTACATTGCTTTCGCAAATTTATTATGATTATAAATCCATTATAGGTTTTTGTACTGCCCTAAAAAATCTTTTCACAAATGTATATTTGGTAACACTGGAGAGTTTCAATGATGATAAGACTCCATCTTAGCCCAAATAACACGTTTAAATCTGTATTAGATTCACTGTGTTGGTTTGGTGTGTTAAGGAGCGTCAGGTTTTCCATAAAGTGTCCGTCTAGTTGTAGTTTCTGGTGTTTCCCAGAAATGTAGCAGAAGTTTTTTGTAATCCTTTATACGAAAGACCAAAGTAACATTCAACAATGCTTCATTGGGTCAGTTCTCATCATTCTCATTTCTCTTAGTTTAAAACTCAGTTTTCAACGTTCAAAACCCATTTTTCAACGTTCATAAGTCTTTTTTCTCGTCGTTCAAAACCCATTTCCGTTCGTTTAAACCCCCATTTCTCAACGTTCAAACCCATTTGTCTTCGTTCAAAACCCACTTTTCTTCATTCAAAAGAAACTTACCTATTCCGTTGTGGTCAATTGTAGGACAGTTAAAAGTCAGTTTTGCAAAACATTAAAGGGCGAGCAAAGTCAAAAACTTAATGACATTTATTTATATATATAAACCATGTTAAGTATATTTCAAAACTAAAAGTCTTACCTTCCTGCTGCGAACAGTACTAGATTTAGAAAAAGGCTTTTTCGGTGGGAGAAGTTGCATCCATTTCTTTCCAAACTGTAGTTCTGAAAATAATTTACGTGTCAGTTCCAAAGGAACATCATTTGCTAGTAGGCGGCCCACCCAAATATAATATAATTTACTGGTTGCTTGAGCCCTCATTATATATGGATGAATTGTAGTAATAATTTTATAGATATTTGCTAATTGGGAATGAGTCTGTATGATCTGTATATCAATGACCATTATACAACAGCACAGGCCTGAAACAATGCCTTAACGATGGTAAAATTTTTTGGTCGATGTCCTCACCTTGTTCTGAACCTGAAGCCCATGCAATCATAGCCAAATGTTGATAAGAAGAGTATTTATCATTCCCAGAATGTCAAATTTACGAACGTTATATTTGTTTACGAATAGCTGTAAAGGTGGAAATTTTGTAGTTTAAGAAACATCATACATATTAATATTTAGTTATACATATAAACATATATATGTTACTATTATTTTAGATATTATCTTATAATCTTATTATCTATATTATCAATTTTTCTATCTATGCATCTGCGTACTATCAGTTCTATATAGTTATATATAGTTATAAATCTATCTATGTACCTATCTATCTATCTATATCGATCTCTCTCTTTCTCTCTCTCTCTATATATATATATAAGTATACATATAAAAAATAATATAACTATATATATAACTATATAGC